CAATGGCGTATACAGGTGGTCAGTCAGTTCGCCCCGACACAACCCCTATTGCTCAATAGAATAATCCAAGATGGCGATGTTTGAGAAACGGTTCGTTGAAGATCGATTCGACCTTTCGATAAACTATTCAAAGCTCGTCCAGTTTACGGATCTCATCGAAGCCTGAACGGAAAGATTGCTGGCTGCTTTGACCTGTGAACGCCAATTATAAAATCTATCGGGTCGGAGAGTGTCGTACGGACTAATAGGTCAAACGAGTCTGCGATCATAGCACACGGCACAGCACGGGTTCGGGCGATATGCTACAATCATGAATCGCGGCGATCAGCGTCCTTCGATGTGGCTTTACTTTAGTATAATTTTTAAAATATTTCAAAACCACATTTCCTTGCACGCATAACCGCGAAAACGAACACCAGTAAACTTGGGGCGAACCGACTTTGGGGCAAACTGACTGTGGGGCGAACTGACTGTGGGGCGAACTGGTCTGGGGCGAATGTGCATTGGGGCGAACTGACTGTGAATCCGTATACGAATGCGATCAGATATTAAAACGTCATAGCTTTGAAAAGTACCCGGATGTTAAGTATGTTCGTTCGTTAATTATTCCCCTCCGTGAATGGCCTCCATGGCAAGCACTTCAAATGCTTATCCAAGCTACAGTTATAATTAAAACAAAATTAAACCACTGCAATATTATTTCGAATACAGTTTAGAATATACACAACTATAAATTAAGGCCGCATTTAGGTTCGCTTTAAACTTTGCTTGCAGATTTACATAATACCACAGTTCGATAACACGACCAGTCACACAAAATCCATCAAAAGGGAACTGCAAGTCGTATAATGCCAAAACAGTACTATTATTTCACAACTTTCGAAATATGTTCGCTTTTATCGATGTCCACTGGTACACCAGTAAATGTCTTCCCATTCGCAATAACACAAAGTCTGAACTATCAGAAATTCGTAACACATAATTCGAGTGATGGTATAACAAAATAACTCATCATTTGTAATTCAATCCAACGAAAAAATATAAAAAAACATTTTCATAAACAATTTTTATTATATAAATACGCTTTGAAAAGAAACAAGATTCATAAACATAAATCTATTTTAATATATTCTCACTACAAATTACACCATACTTATTTTCTAATGGAGTTTCTTCACAGCACAAACTATTGGAATCCATGCACACGTGTGAGTACTTTGGAAACACATTTTATAGCTACGCCCAAAATAGTCCATCATTTATTTCGCAACTGTGACCAAACGACATCATTCTGTTAACATCCACACACTTTCATAAAATCTCCATGCACTTTTTGACCTTTCATAAGTAAAATACACTACAATTTACTCCAGAAAAACAATTTTCTTGGTACATTCCTACATTCTTGCATACTAATGAGGGGTTCAGACACATTCCAAACTGAACAATTTTCTTGGACTAATAACAAAGCTGGTCAATCCTTTCCCAGCAATAAATTGCATAAACGAGGGATGAACGTGAAAGTCATGTGACTGCGAAATCCCAACAGACTTGCCATCAGTTTAAGCGCCCTCTCATTACAGGCCAGATTCGGGCTTGTAAATTTGCATATACGTCATATGGTGGGTGGAACAGCCGAGGCATGGAGTGTGTGTGGTTTCCGGGGTCTCAGTTGATATGTTAATTAGCCATTCTTCTGATTGGTTGAAACATATTAGACATGTCAATCATTACAAGCCCGAATCTGGCCGGTAATGTGAGGGCGTTTACACAGATGGACAGAGCTGTTAAACACCCTCCTAGTAATTACTATACACCTCACTAGCAACACCAATTTAAAAAAAATGAATATAAAACTTGGCATATGGAAGTCACGTGACTTGACTATTGGTGGCAGAGTTACACTTGCAAAGGTTTTTGGGGCTACTAATCTGCTCTTTGTAATAAACAACATTTCTATTCCGCCAAAATATGTGTCCGAAGCCCGGGCTAGGTTACTGTAAAATACTTTATTTTCGCTTGGAATTTATTTTCGCTATTTTCGCTGAAGGGATGATTCCGTGAAAATAAAATCCAGTGAATATACTTTTTTCCTATATTTCACATTAAACTCATTAAAAATCAGTGAAAATAAATTCCAAGCAAAACGTCCAAAAAGCCTTTTCAGCGAAAATTAATTCCAGCGAAAATAAAGTATTCCACAGTATTTGATTTTCTGTGAAATGAGAAAAGACACCATATAAAAAACAACTCTTTAATTGGGGATATTGATTATGGTGGTTTGCAGATGACTTTAACTCCAGGTTGCGATAGGGCTGCATACCACAAAGGGGGAGAATAAAGACGCACAATCACACACAAGTGTCTGGGATCCAATAGGGGTAGGTTTATTCTAAATAACAAAATTAGGGGGCCAGAGTTTGGCCAATAAAAAGACACTGCTTGCTGAAATATGGCCAAACACTGGCAAACTAAGACTACTACTAAAACACAACAAACTAAAACACCAAATACCCAGGACAATTGTGAGCACAAAGTGCAACAGGATTCAGGTA